CACCTCATAGAGTAATGGAAATAAAAACTAAAATAAACAAACGGGACCTATTGATACTTAAAAGCTTTTGCACAGCCAAGGAAACCATAAACAAGACGAATTGACAACCCTCAGAATGCGAGAAAATATTTGCAAATGAATCAACAAAGGGTTAATCTCCAAAATATATAAACAGCTCATGCAGCTCAATATTAAAAAAAAAAAACAAACAAACCAATCAAAAAATGGGTAAAAGACCTAAATAGACATTTCTCCAAAGAAGACATACAGACGGCCAAGAAGCACATGAAAAGGTGCTCAACATCACTAATTATTAGAGAAATGCAAATCAAAACTACAATGAGGTATCACCTCATACCAGTTAGAATGGGCATCATCAGAAAATCCAGAAACAACAAATGCTGGAGAGGGTGTGGAGAAAAGGGAACCCCCTTGCACTGTTGGTGGGAATGTAAATTGATACAGCCACTATGGAGAACACTATGGAGGTTCCTTAAAAAACTAAAAATAGAACTACCATATGACCCAGCAATCCCACTACTGGGCATATATCTAGAGAAAACCATAATTCAGAAAGACACTTGCACCCCTATGTCCACTGCAGCACTATTTACAATAGCCAGGACATGGAAGCAACCTAAATGCCCGTTGACAGACGACTGGATAAAGAAGATGTGGTGCATATATACAATGGAATATTACTCAGCCATAAAAAGGAACGAAACTGTGTCATTTGTAGAGACGTGGATGGACCTAGAGACTGTCATACAGAGTGAAGTAAGTCAGAAAGAGAAAAAAAAAATATCGCATACTAATGCATATATGTGGAACCTAGAAATATAGTACAGATGAACCGGTTTGCAGGGCAGAAATAGAGACACAGATGTAGAGAACAAATGTATGGACACCAAGGGGGGAAAGTAGTGGGGAGGATGGTGGTGGTGGGATGAATTGGGAGATTGGGATTGACATATATACACTTATATGTATAAAATGGATAACTAATAAGAACCTGCTATATAAAAAAATAAATAAAATTCAAAAAAAAGAATGATGACATGAAAAACAAAACGATCACAAGATTATAATTTAAAAAAAATAAAATAAAGAAGGCAACACCTAAGCTGGGTCTTGGAAGATAAACATGTGTTCGCTAGATTGTCAGGCAAGAGGGAAAGAATATTTCAAACATAAGTAGTTGTCTGGGAAAAGACTTTAAATGCATGGCAAGTTTGGAAAACCACAAGAAGCTGGTTAATGTTGAAGTGCAGGGAGTGAGACTAACAGTGAAAAAGTGTGATAAAGGAAGAGGCTGAAGAAGTAGGGTAGGCACAGGCATATCATAGATGATCTTAATTGCTTTCCTCTGCACCATATGTGCTGAATCCCACAAGTCAGCAAGAACAACATGCCTCTCACTTTCCAGATTCAGATAATTTATCTCTGAAGTTCCAAGCCCTGCCTGGTTCTGTGACATTCCACCAAGTCCCAGAGGTGGGCATGCATTCATTCAGCAACACTCACTCTGTGCCATTTAGCAGTGTATAAGCTGCAGTGGAGATCAGGAGGAAGTGTCTAAAACTTAGGAATTAAGGAGAGGCAGGAGAAACTTCACAAAGAATGTAGTGCTTGAACTTAGCCATTACAGATGAATCATAAAAGTCTTGCAGGATATCACTGACTACTGTTTGTGTTGCGGGAAAGACCATGAAAGAATAAATTTGAAGAATTATAGCTGTAGTGTAGAAGGGTAAGTGAGATAAGGCTAAAAAGGTAGAAAGTTTTCAGTGAAAAATGTACAGATTCTAGATAATGTAAAAGAGCTAAGAAAATTATAGTGGCCTGGAACTTTCTCATAAATATGATCTACTTTTTGGTTCACCTTGATATCTGGGATCCATTCCACAAACATTGCCCACTATAAGCCTGGTAATGTGTTCTAAACATGCAAAGATGAATAAAATATGGTCCCTGCTTCTGAGATTATAAATTAGTAGAATTCAGATTTATATTGGACTTCTTATAGCATATATTTGTTATCTTACTTCATCCTCCCCACATGTGAAGCAGAGAAGACAACAGGTAAACCATTTTTTTTTTCTTTTTAACTGAAGAGAATCATGGAAAGACGTATTAAGAGATATATCTACAGTTCCAACTAAGTCAGTAGCAGAACAGTATTCTAGGCCAGCAGTTCTCAACTGTGGTGTCACTACCCAGTGCTAGCGCAATCAGTTGTAAATGAAATTTGTTGCTGATCATTAAGTACCAGAGCTCTATCTATAACAATATAAAGTATCTAACCTATGGACAAACACATGTGTTTAAAGAGGAGCACATAAGGATGTCACTGGAGTGTATATTACTAAAAGAACAACCTGAATGACCATTGAGGAATGAATAAATAAATTACTGTATAGCAATACTAAAGAACATCATACAACTTTTTTTTAAGTGGAGTAAGATATCCAAGTAATTATATGCAAAGACCTATAAGACATTACTGAATGAAAAAAGATGCAAAACCCATGTATAATGATACTCTTTGTGTTAAAAAAAAAAAAAGGATACAAAAAAATTTTTAGACAGATTATTTTTATATGAATGCACAGGAAATGCTCTGAAAGGGTAACACTAATGAGAGCCGGCTGGGTAAAGGGACACATGGATGGAAGATGGACCAAGGAGATTTAGTCATCTCTGTTATGTCTGAATTTTTTATAAGGATATATATTCATGTATTACTTGTATAATTAAGCATAAACAATTGAGCTTAAAGCAGAATATTTTCCCTATAAAGTTATTTCCTACATATTTCCCCATAACACTACTTGTATTCTGATATGTGGGTAGGAGAGTAGGAGCAGAATAGAAAGAATTTATTTGCAAGTACCTGAACTGAGCCAACTCAATGTACTTTCAAATAACTCAAAGCCTATGTTATCAATGCTGAAACTGTTACCGATACAGTTAGCAACTGCAACAACGCTCAATCATCAGGAGTCTTGACAGACGAGATTTAAACGTCCATACATAAAGGTGGACAAGAGCACTCTCCTCTGAACCTATAGCATAACCACTCTGGTTTAGCCTCACTACAGGTTGGGCTCTGTGATGAACGCTGTTAACCTGTATTATTTCAATTACTTCTTACAACATTCTTGTAAGGATTAAATGAGAAACTGCAGGTAAAACTCTTCACACATAATGCCCAATCACATAACAATAAGTGTTGTCCTTTATAGGTGTTCCTACTGCCTAATCTCTAACCTTATCAATTACTGTACTGCAGTCAGCTTTTCAAAAGCCTCACTGTACTGCAGTCAGCTTTTCAAAAGCCTCACTGACTTAAGTGTGCCAATGCTAAGAAACCTGCAATGGATTCTCATTACCTACTGGACTAAATCCAAACTCCTTCATCAGACATTTGAAAGCATGTGTGACGCAGCTCCATCACCCATCATGTTCCTTCTGTACCCTACTATTCTGTAGGCACATTGGAGTGCTCACAATTTTCAGCATATATTATATACTCTGACTTCCATAACTTAGGAGTACTCTTGTCACTCTCGCTAAACAGTTCTATCTACTCCAAGGTTTTGTAGAAATATTACCTTCTCTACAAAGTTGATTCTCTCTGGCACTCTCAAGTACATTGCTTATCTCTATTATGATACTTTTTTTGTATCACTTGTTTGTAAACTGACTGAAAGCAAGTTTTATTTATTTTTACATCCCTACTGTGCCTAGCACAGTGTTTTATACACAATTTGCATTTAATAATGTAGAAAACTTTCACCATTACTCATAGCCCCAGTGATAACCAGTACAACTTGAAATTCTGAAGCAATTCTCTCTAATTTCCCCTTCAATTCACCTACCAGTGGTAATGACCCTATAGTAACTCTGGTAGTAACTCTTTCCAGTCCTAATTCAACACTCAGTGAGATATAATTATTTCCATACCAAACAAATGAAGTGGCACATAATCAGTGACCTAATGCTGACAAGACTGGCTGACATTAAATTCATTATGCATTAACACTGGAGGAAGGAATACAAAGCATAAGCTAGAATATTGGAATCATCTTTTAAAATCACAACTGGGATATAAAATTCCTCTGTTCAATTTTGGGTAATCTCTAACCTAACTGAATTGAACTTTAAAATCAAAGGATGTGTAAGGTCATCTACCCATTTAGTAAATAAAGTCACCTTTTATGGATTAATTATTTCTAAATCTATACAAATTGGTAAAAGCAGTAAATGTCCTTAAAAGCTAAGTGACCTCAGCCCTCTAACCATTCATAAGTGGTTTTTTCTCGGTTAAAATCTAAGGTAGCAAGAAACCTTAGTTTTTAGTTTTGTTGTTAAATTTCACGACATTGCAACTACTAATGACTTTGGTTTCTTTTGAGCAATCAAGTAAAAACATAGCAAATACTAGTTATATACGTACATTTAAAATATAATTAAATTCTTCAGGCAAAAGTATTACATAATACGTTACTTGATTCTATCTAGGAACCTTCTTCCAATTTTTGAAAGCCATATTAACTCTTTATGTGAAGGCATTCGTAGTGCAGAATAGTTGAGGATCTCAGGACAGAGAATTGGTTTCATTTAATTCTCTAAACTACTTGTACCACATGTGAACCTCTTAAAGGAAGACAGTTTTGTGGTTACTGTTTACTTTTCAATGAAGACCAGAGTACTTTTTGGAGATTTACAGGGCTTAACTCAATAGCATGTCAAATTTATTTTTCTTAAATGGTTTTTGCATTAGTTTGCTACTACTAGCAAACAAGTTAAATTAGAAATATTCAGGCAAAGGTACATTAAAGTCAATACTAGCTGCATGTTATCTAGGTGTTAGGGATGTTACCAAACTTTAAAGCAAGATGACCACAAGTTTTGAAAGTAAAGTGTTGGTTATTATAGATTTCATAGTAAGGCAGTTACATGGCTAAGCTTGGCTGGTACCATGGACTTTAGCATACCTGGAAATAGAAAAATTCAAATGGTAGCTGTTCTTGATTGGCCCATTGCCATTTTTGCAGCTTACAAATTTTTAATTAAGTAACTGCAGTGAGCTCATCTCTACTGGATACTTCTTTTCCAGGGCAGGTCCAGGAACTGGGTCTGGAGCCTTGAAAGCAGAAGAGAAACTAGAGTAAACTAGGGGTAGGCAGAACAAGAAACGTGACCAGATAACATTGAGATCTAATAGCAGTGAGGTAGTCCCCAATGTCTCTCACATGAAATATTCTTAAGTGGAAAAGAATCTCTTAAATTACAAGTTACCAGAAGATGCTATTTGCATTAGTTCAGTCATTGTCTTAATCTACACAACTCCACTCTGAACTCCTAACTCTAGAAACTATAACAGTAGCCTTTATGAAATCTCTATTGGCTTTTAGCAATAGACTGTCCAATATGGAACCACAGAGTATAAAAGAACGAGAAAAACAACAATAAATTCACTTTCATTGGTAAAACTGGAATTGTAAAGTCCTCATTTTCAGGTCAGTTTTCTCTTTTGCTATCTTATTTCCAATCATCTTCTAATTGTTCCCCTAAATTCCTACAATCAATTGTCAGAGGTTTCTTAAGAAATGCTTTATATATATCCAAGCAATGAACTGAATTTCAAGTTCCAATTTTTAAAAATACTTTGTAATTCTTAAAGAGGGAGGCAAAGAACAGCTCATAAGATGTGGTTCTTAACCACACTGGAAATTCTTTTTTCCATTACCAAAACAGATTCAATGATTTTTTTTTTTTTTTTTTTGGTTAGGTCCACATTATTTAAAAAAACACACACACGCAAAACTTGCAACTACAAAGGTTACAGAAATGGTAGGCTATTAAAAATGTTAGACTGTTGTACTAATTAGATTACTAGGGCCTGGAAATGATGTCCTTATGTTTGGTGAGCTGATACCCTTAGGAGTCTCTCTCTAAGAAACGAATCAATCCCACAGCAGTCAAAATAAACTGAACCCTCTGCTGCTGTCAAATGATGGCAGACTGTGAGAACTGTAACAGGACAAAAAAGTAGTGAAGACAAGGATTCAAAGAACTTAACTCCCTGCATTTCTAGTAACTAGAAACACAACAAAGCAAAATAAAATGAAAGTAGTTTTTAAGAAAAATGTCAATTTTCCACCTTCTGTGATGGCATGTTGCAGGTGAAAATATTCAGGTGGAGAAAGATCTGGGTTCAAATCTGGTTCCAGTATAAACTAAAACTCTGCAGAAGTTTCCGGTCTGTTAAATGGGATACCATCCCCCACCTCACTGGATTGTCATGAGAATTAGCACCTAATGACCTGGCACACAGTAGGTATTCAATACATTTTTCTGCATAATGGAACGTTATTTTTTTGTTCTAAACATATGAGTATACTTAAGCTTTCATTTTAATAAATGCTAAAGCAACAGCTGTGTAACAAGCTTTAGGTTTAAATAACTCAACTGTGTCACATCCTAAGAGATATAACTGATTCATCAACACTGATTTCAGAACAAAGCAAATGTAAGAACGCTCAGTTCTGAGAATTGATGATAAATAAAAATATAACAATTTACATTTAGGATATAAAGAGAATTAGTGGTAAACAAGTAAGTAGACATGTAATTCTTCCTCCTCCAAGTAAAGGAGAAAATACGTTTGTCAACAGGTTAAAAGGTTATAGATCTGGGATACAGTGCCTTTTAAAAAACAAAAGGAATCAATGTATGATCTAACTAGGTCTTTAAGTCAGGAAATGCTTTAAGGGCAAAGAAAAGCCTTACATTTGAGCAATAATTTTCCTCTTACTGATAGAACAGTGGGTTCCACACAAAATTATTATTTACCAAATATGGTTCAAAGATCAGATTACACCTTCCCTGGCATTACCAAGTAATAGAGCATTATCGCAGGCCACAAGGAATTTTAAAAAGAAAAAGAAAAAGAAATTTCCTTAAAGTTACTCGAAATGTATTCACTGCTACAACTTTATTTCAAATAGTTTTTAAAAGTTAACATGGAAAGAAAGAGTCTTACTCAAAAGAGATTGCAATTTACTTAGAGATGATAAGATTAAACTAAATTTTGCCAGAAGGCAAAAAAAAAGAAAAAAAAAGTATTTAAAAATGAGGATTCCTATTCATTAACCCATATGGATAGACTTTCAGTTTAAAGACATCAAGAAAAACACTTTTATAGACAAACCATTAATTTTTGTTTTTATTTTATAACTACTATCATATTGAAATCTCATTACTCAAATAATGTTTCAGTTGATTCTTTTGGATTTTCCAGATATAAAATGTCATCTACAAATAAATGTGCCTCCTCCCTTTCAATAATTACACCTCCTGTTTTGTTTTTTGGTCTAATTATATTGGCCAGCATTCCCAAGACAATATTATGTAACAGTAATGCTGGCCAGACCTTTTTTGATTCATGACTTTTAAAAAGGAATTTAGTATTTCACTAAATACTAAAATAGGAATTCTAGTATTTTACCATTTCTAGTAACAAAATGCTGGCTTCCGGTCTGAGATATATAAAATCTTGGCTATGTTCATTCGTTCTTGTTTCACTAAGCATTCTTATTAGAAATAAATGTTGATTTCCCTTTTTTTTGATATCCGTCAAGATATTCATAGCCCCCGTGACCTACTAATATGACTTAACTTGATTTATCATTACATTCCTAGAGTGAATATTACTCAGTTATAGTATTATTCTGTTAATGTAATGCTAGATTCCATTTGACAGTTTTATTAAGCATTTTTTGCACCAACTTTTGTGAGACTGATGTGCAATCTTTTATGTTCATATTTTACGTTACGTGGCTTTATAAAAAGAACCAGGAAGCTTACCTTTTCTTCTCTATATTCTGATATACACAGCTAATTACCTAGTGCTTTTTGCAGGAAAGAGTCTCATATCAGCTAAGACCAGCATTTTCATTTGTGGCTCCAGATCCTATCCCTTTCTTTCACATTTCCACAACACCCTTTCTTTTCAATCTCTCACTTCAACCTACGAACCTGTTTAAGTCTTAACCATCTTAAACATATATCCATGAACACATTTATACCACAAAAACTTTCCTTATCAGTTAAGTCTTGTTCAGCAAGTATTTATTCACAAAGCTGTTTATTAAAACTGCTACTCTATTCAAGGAACTGACAATGAACTGCAGTTCCTGCCCTCTATTCCTAATCTAGTAAGGAGCACAACCATGCATACAAAAAACTGCAATAGCAATGCAAAGAATAAACAAGTTATGCTAGGACATCTCTCTCTCACCATCTGTGCCTTGCCAAACTTCTCTACTGAGTAGTTATGCTATGGTCTCAAATTTGTTTTAATCTGCCTTCAAGTTTTATCCCTTGGTAAGTTTTATTCAAATCACCAAATCCAATAACCTCTTCAGGAGCCTTACCCACCATTTTGCAAAAACTTTGCGGCTTGTTTCATATTTTTTTAATAAATCCAATTAGATCTTCAAATGTACTGTTAAATTTTGTTTTTTTAAAGGAAATTCATAGAATATTTTATTCTTTAAAAATTTATTCATTTATGGCTGCATTGGGTCTTCACTGCTGCACACCGGCTTTCTCTAGCTGCGGTGAGCTGGGGCTACTCTTCGTTGCGGTGCGTGGGCTTCCCATTGCAGTGGTTTCTCTTGTGATGGAGCATGGGCTCTAGGCGCACGGGCTTCAGCAGCTGTGGCACACGGGCTCAGTAGTTGTGGCTCGCAGGCTCTAGAGCGCAGGCTCAGTAGTTGTGGCGCACGGGTTTAGCTGCTCTATGGCATGTGGGATCTTCCCGGACCAGGGATTGAACCCGTGTCCTGTGCACTGGCAGACAGATTCTTAACCACTGCGCCATCAGGGAAGTTCCCATAGAATATTTTAAGTTTTACTAGGCACTTTTAATTCACCATATCATTTGATGCTCATGAAAAACCACCCAGTAAGGCTAGGTAATTATTACTCTCATTTGCAAGGTTCAGAAAAATACATCAATTTACTGATTATCAAAACTCCAATAAGCAGCAGAGTTAGGGCCAGAGATGTATTTGTGGCTTTCTAACTCCAGGTCCAGGGTTCCCTCCTCTATATTTTATTAACTTGATTGATTAATTACTAACTTGAATACTTACTGATCATTCTCTTCTTTAAAACTTTTCTGGTCAATATTGCATATTCTTCTAGCGTCCTAGGTTCCTTATTTTGGTACTTCTTAATGTTTGTCAAAGGGATGTATAAGTAAAATCTATGACATTTATTCTCTCACTTCTTGCTCTGGCATCTCATCTACAGTTACAGCATCATCTAGGGAGAAGCTCCTTTAAATTGTAGTTTAACCTTCCTGTTCTACTTGATGAAACGTAAGCATTCAGAATCATAGAATTTGATGTTGAAAGGATCTTAGAGATTATTAAGTCCAACATCTTTATTTAACAGAAGAAAAATATAAAGTTCAACTCACACAAGTCAGTAGCAGAATTTGAATAAAAGTTTAAGCAAAATTTGCCTTTTTAAACTTATGAATCATAAAACAAATATATACATATACAGTAAATAGAAAGCAACTAAAATTTCAAGAGTAATTACTGGCCCCTGCTTCATTTTTGTTAAAGATACTTGTCCATATTTCTAATATGACAATACTAATGTATGAGTCCATTTATCAAAGTAATTTTTTAAAAAAAATCATGGAATGGCAATAAAGTTAAAACCTACTCAATTCTATATATTCGTGCATTAATTATCTATCTTCCAGATTTTTAGAGTGAACTGGGAATCAAAATCACACCACTACCTAGCCTAATGCTTCCTACCTAGGTTGATAATCATGACCTAGTCTACAAGGCAGGAACAGATACCACTAGACTGTTTGCTGAACACCACTTAGAACAGTGCCTGGTACATGTATTAAGCACTGAAAACGTGTCAGCTACCACTGCTTCTCCACCAATTACTACTTCTGAATATATTCATATGATTATAAATATGGCCGTATTAATGATTCAGCCATACAGACAAGTATCCTGTTAGAGGACCAGTACCTCACTCTTCTCCTTTTGGTCTATTGTCCAAGTTTTGTTCTAGTGAGCAGGGCCACAACCCTTTGTTATCTAGGAATACCTTTCCAACAACTCCCAAGCTAGAAGTACTTTAATATCTCAACATCAGAGTCTATAGGCTCTGAAAATTAACAGCTCATTTTAAAAGGAAATTTTCTACTCCAACACTTCTAAACTTTTAAGCTCATTTACCCATGATACAGAATGCATGAGAAATAAAAGGGAATCTCATGTGAAGCAGGAAGATTTTTTTTCCTCTTAATTGTGCTTAAGTTTAAACTTAAACTCTTCCCCAAACTAGCTTCCCCTCTTCAACTTCCCATTTTTATCAGAAATAGCAATTTTCTTGTTAGCCTGAAAACTGAAATTACCTTAACTTTTCTCTTGCCTTCCTTTACCTTTCTCAACTGCTTCAAATTTCATCCATTTAATAACTAACATTCCTCAAAACACAACTCCTGAGACTCTCCTCACTGGATATTACAGTCAGTACAGTTCACAATCACTTCCACAGTTCTGAAACCTAAAAAGTTCTGAAAAGATTTTTTATGAAGCTTCATGTCAAAACTCATCTGGTAGTGGCAAAAATCTGCTTTGAACTGACGTGAAGCTACTTATAGGCTTTACTTAGCCACTTACTGTAAACATTTCCATTTTTCACTGCAGAGATACTAGTGTTTAACTACTGGGTGATGCCTCAAACCTTGCTGGGCATGTTACATATTATACAATATATACACACGTTACCTTTCTAAAATTCAAAAAATTATGAATTCCAAAACATAGCTGGCCCCAGGGTTTCAGAAAAGTTATCATGGACCTGTACAACATTGTTCCAAGAATCCTAATTTAGGCACCCTATTCTTAACTTTCTTTTTGATACTTCCCCTTACACCACTCCATGCATTTCAGCCTCCATATTTACCAACAGGTCCTATAGGTTCTTTCCAAACACCACAATTGCCAATTCTACTCCACAACTACTGCTACCACACTATCCCAATCATCCAATTTCTAAACGACCAGACCCATGGTTTACCTCCCTACCATTAAGTTCTTCCCATCTGACCCATCAAGCAGATTAAGAAAGGCTCCTATATAACCACTTAAAATATTTCACTGCTTTGCACAAGAACTTAATAAACTGGAACAGATACATAATAAGAGGGTAAAGATGGTGATTGTGGGATTATAGATGAATTTTTGTTACCTTATCTATAACTGTAAGTTAAGAAGAGGTTCTCTTTTTTTTCAAACTTTATGAAGTTTTAAAAAT